AATATAAATAAAACTTTATTAAATAAACAACCAGAGCAGAAGAAAGGTTTACTTTGCAGCTCTTCCTGCTGGAATGATCCGGAACAGCCGAGTGAGTTTGTTACAAACTGGGAATTCCTCGTCTAACGTCCGCTGGCCATGACGCTGTGATGTCAGAGGCATCAGCTGCTTCCTGGTGTCCTCTGGTGTCGCTGGACGTCTCCGTCTCCCAGGATGTGAACTCTGGGTTTGGAAACCACATCTCTCCAAATTCTGCCGGTTGGACTGCGATCCGCTCTGCTGTCGTCTCCAGAGCCCCAAGGAGCAGGGGGAGAGCACGGCATTGTGGGTAAAGCGGTTCACAGCGGGTTTAGTTCAGAGGGACGCAGACCACAAGAGACGAGGCAGACAGTTCATCTGTCACTCGGGCTCTTAATGTGAAAATCCTGAGTCCTGCTAACGAGAAGCAGGTTCTGGTACCAAACACGGCCCGGCAGGAACAGAACCTCTTGTGTGAACTAATGAGTTTCATCCAGAACCAAATGTCCTACAGAACCACTAGTGTTCTTCTGCTTCTGGCAGTTGGGTCCACTCTGGTCAACATGTCCAGAACCAATCATGTTCTAGAACCTTCACATTTCTGAAGGAACCCGCAGTATTCAGAGGGGAATTCAACCAGCAACCGTGCACCTGTCTGACCTGGGGACAGAGTCGGGAATCTGGTTTTGGGATGGAGACGACATGGAGACACTTGGACCAGCTGGACGGCGGTGGGCAGAGCTACAATAACGAACTTCTGCAGGACAACTGGGACATTTGGACACGTCTTCAGAAAGACAGCAGGACTTTACTGGACATGTCCCAAGGACAGGAAAATGTCCAGAAAGACAAACCCAGATGGTCTTTTTTGTTTTGTCTGTTAATGTCCATCATTTTAGAGACGAGGGACACACAGACGTTTGCAGATGACACCACCGTAGAGGGTCTCATAACAACGATGAGACCCTCTACAAAGAGGAGATGCAGCACCTCACTCAGGGGTGTTCTTTGAACAACCTGGTGCTCCACACCCGTAAGACCAAGGAGGTCAGAGTGGACTTCAGGAGGTCCAACAGGACAGAGCACCCACCTCCACTCATGTGGGGGGAGCTAGTAGAGCGTGTAGACATCCACCTGGACATCCACATCCCCTCAGATCTAACCTGGTCACTGAACACTTCCTTTCTGGTAAAGAAGGCCCAACAAAGACTCTTCTTCCTTAGGAAACTGAAGGGAGCCGGTCTCTCCCCCAGCTGCTAAAGAACTTCTACAGATCCATGACGGAGAGCATCCCATCACTCAGTATGACGGTGTGGTATGGGAGCTGTACCGTCCAGAACAAAAAGACCTGGCCAGGGTGGTGAAAACTGCTCAGTGGACTGTGGGGAGCCCACTACCAGATCTGGACTCAGTACTAGAGCCCTGCACGGGCCTAGAATCTGAGCCCCGGCCCGACCCGGTCCCAAAAGGTTTTCAGGATTCTCTGGCCCGACCCGAGCCCGACTTTTTTTTAACCTTTCATAATGTTTTAGCGTGATAGGATGCTCAGCGTTCTACTTACCTGTGGGAAACGTTCTGCAGTAAAAGAAAAGACAGAAAAACAGCATCAGTGCAGCTTTTTTCTAACAGAGCGTATTTTTGGAGCGGCAGATGAAATTTACGAACACTATATTAATTAGATGTGTTTGTAAAATGAATCTGCCGCTCTGAGAAAGTGCTCTCCGTTAGAAACAAACCAGCGATGAATGCTGTAATTTTTAACTGCAGAGCAAATTTATTCACAGAAAAATAGAAACGCTGCCGTTTTCATGAGGATAAACGAACGTTTCTGACATCAGAGTGGACGTAACACGGCGTATTAGAACAGGGGCACGTGTTTCAGTCAGCAGTTAGAGAATTCCTTTATGTCGGCGCGTTTATAAACCACACACACCTTAACTGAGCTAACGGTGTGTGAGAAGCAGGCAGGTGCTGCTGCGTTCAAGTGTTTCAGTTTTTTTAATGAATTCGGTTAAAAATAAAGGCGCCCGGCCCGGCCCGTGTCTGAGGTAATTACACAGTCGTTGGCCCGAAGCCCGACCCGTGGGCCGACCCGACCCGGGGGCCTGGGGCTTCAGTGCAGGGCTCTAGTCAGTATATACCACCCGACTACAGAGGAAGGTTAACCGTATCGCTGCTGATTCCTTCCATCCCGGTCACAAACTGTTCATGCTGCTACCATCCAGGAGACGTTACAGGAATACCAGGGCATCAAGGCCACCACCACCAGGCTGAGGAGCAGCTTCTTCCCTAGAGCTGTTAAAGCCCCCCCCCCTGCAGATACATGCACTCCCAACCAACGACCCGTGAGACTGTTAGACTTTTAATGATGGGTTGGTTGTACTTTACAGTGATCCTGTGTTTTCCTGCTGCTATTGTCGGGTTCACACTTGAATCCTGTGTGTGCGATAACATCGATCAGCATGTCGATCAGAACGTCAGTCAGCGCAACATTTATCTTTATGTCTTTTAAATGATTCAGCTGTTTGACTCACGCTACTAGCGTGTGTACGGCCCCCTAAAGGGAAGGGTGTGTGTTGTTCTTGTTTTACTCTTCATGTTTTTATCGTTCTATTTGTGGTCTTAGTGCCCTTTAAGCTGAGCGCTACCAACCAAATCTTGTTATGTGCATGCATAATGACAATGAAGAATTCGATTCAGAGGGACACTCTGGCCCTGGAGCTGTTACCTGGTAAGGTACGATGCTCTCGTGGGCTGTCCCCCAGCGCTGTGCCTCTTGTCCTGCGTTCAGATAGTTAGCTGCTATGTGGCTGAGACAGGACACCTGGAGACAAGGACGTTAACTCTTTAAAGCCAGAAAGGTGAAATAATAACAATAACAAGCCCGCCTGCACCACAATCACATCTTTATTTTATTAAGTGATCCTATCACCGTGTCCCTCACCCCCATCAGCCCTAGAGTGAGCAGCTCTGGTCCAGCGGTTGTCTAGACAGACCATAGATGGATGATGTCACCATGGATGCTAATCCACGTTTACGGTACAGACACCAGCTGCCACAGCTCCCTCTGCCTACTGCAACAGAGGGGTGGAGGACAATGCTGGAATCTGACCAAAGCTAACAGAAAGTAGCATTTTAGCTACTTCCTCTCTGGCGTTCCACAGGGCTGGGTACCAAATCTCTTACGTTTTTCCTGCTAAATTCCAGTCAAATGTCCCTGATGATGTGCTGCTGCGCTTTTTTCACCGCTGAGCCGTGCTGGCGCCACGTCATGTGATGCGTAGAGGAGGCGAGCTCGTTTACTCACACGCAGGCCGCTCCTCTCACTTATGCAAGAAGATCTGTGCCATGAAAACGGGAATACCAGCGATTTGTCAAAGCATCTCCTCGCACATGGAGCTGAAGCCGTCCTCCTCTGCTGGGAAGGCAGCACCAGCTATGTCACAGAAAGATCCCAGGTCACTATGGGGAAGCCTTGAAGAGGAGCTTCAGAAACATCTGCAGGAACAATCATCTAAAGCTGGTTTGCTTTTACTCATTTCATTCATTTATCTGCAGACCATCTTCTTACCACCAGTCAAAGTGGCCCAAAGTGCTGAACACTCAAGCTAAAAAGATAAACACATTACACAGGTTCAAATAAATGAAACCACGAGATCGTAAAGGACAACACGGTAAAAACAAGAGTCCAACACAGAAACAATGGCTGGAATCCACCGATGACAGCAACCAACCTGGATTCAAAGCTGCACCGAAGTAGACCGCCTAATGTCGGTGGAAGCTGCTTCCAGTTTAGGCCCGATCACAGAAAATGCGAGCGGTCCCCGCGGGATTTCTTTCTCCTTCTTGGAACCATCAAGATGCCAGACTTCCCTCTCCACAGCCACTTGGGCCAGCTCCTCCGGGGGAATCCCGAGGTGTTCCCTGTCCAGGTGAGAGACATCGTCCCTCCACCGTGTCCTGGGTCTCCCTTTAGGTCTCCTCCTGGTTGGACGTCCCCAGAAAACCTCACCAGGGAGGCGTCCAGGAAACTATGATTTATTTAATATTTCCTTCCTGTATTTACACTTTAATACAAGCAGAAGTGACCCGGGCTTTCGGTCCACGAGGAACCGTTTCTAAAAGATCAGAAAACAGAACCGGTTCCGGCATCACCGCGACTAACCAGGCTCAGGCGGAGCTGAAGCTACAGCAGTCTTTCTTCATTGTTGTTGAGGTGTGGTGATGACGAAGACCAGTTACCATTACTGACCAGTTAGGCTAAAAGGTGCTTCTGTGTCCAAGAATCCTCGACACCGGCTGAGCGCACATTTCACCTGCCGGGAGCCCAGTCAGCCTGGAAGGGCCTGGTTTCTGCTGAATAGCTGCTAGGACTCATGAATACGTAGTTCTGTTCACTCCGTTTAGTTCGTTTGGGATTCAAATACTTTTTTTCAGTGTTTTAGAGTTCATGCATATACTTTGTACCTCAGTGAATATCTTTATCTCCACACTGTAAAGTACGGAAGCGTCGACTCCAAACCATTAAAAAGCTGCTGTTCCCAATTACCGAGGTCGCTCTAGAAAAATATAAAATGAGTTCCGTTTTTGTGAGTGAATGAGACAATGATAGTCTATGAAAGGATGAATGGATCCCTCTACATGTCCCGGTTGATGAGTGTTATAGGACGCTCCTCCGTGAGCTCAGAGGTGACGGGCTGGGCTCTGGGACGCGTTGGGTCTAAACTTTTATGATGTGGCTTCTAACTCAGCATGAGTCTTTTGAGTGTTAGCTCTGAAGCTTTAGTCTTTGTGCATTGTGTTGGTTTTCATTCATGCCAAGCCCTTTGGTGGGTTTTACTCGGCTGTAAGGTGCTGCACAAACATAGCTGCCCGAGGCTTAGCTACTCTTGTCTCTGAACGTGATGGACCGATAAGCCAGCTCTGGAATATCTCCATCCAAGAGGGGTTTGGAAAACTTCTGGATGTAGCAGGATGACCTCTTGGACCCTGACCACTGCCAAGGCTGTAGCAGTTATTTAGAGGCGGACTCCCTCTATCTGAGAGGCTTCTGCCTGTCACCATCCATTGGCAGTTTGTGGACACACCAGAACACCCCCACAGATCTTTATTCATAAGAGTTTTCTCAACCACAGGCTCTCTCGGATGGCCGGACAGATGGGAATATTCCAGGGCGTGATTATCGTTCCTGCCCATCTAGCTCAGAGACAAGAGTAGCTTTGTCCCAGCGTCTCAACCCAAAACAACCACAAACCCGCAGTTTGGACTTCATGGGCTGCCATCAGGTGGCTTGCTGGTGTGGCCTATAACCTGTATTCCTGGAGCGCTTCATGTGGTAGAGTGTCCGCCCTGGGACCGGGAGATCAGGGTTCAAATCCCAGCCGGGTCATATCAAAGACTTTAAAAATGGGACCCTGCTCGACACTGAGCACATTGGGGTTCGACTTGGGCTTAAACTAACGAATAGAGGTGTAATTTCACCAGTGTGTGATAAGTTAATGGGACTAACTAAACCAGGTTTAACTTTACTCAGCCACGGTGGAGTGCATGTTCCTAACATCGCACATGTTCGCGAGCTAAGCCAGGATATTTCTAAAGGGGCAGAACATTTTTAAAATCCCCTTGAAGTGTTGAAATGAACTGCTACGAGGAATAAAACTTCACCACGCACACGGATGGCTGCGTGCTACTTCCGGTATCCCGTCGGATCTACGTTTCTACGTGAGCCGGCGCAGGAACACACATCCATCTGCAGATCCTCCACCAGGGGGCGGCACACATCTACAGGACTAGAAATGGCAGCCTATTAAAATAATAGTCGACTATTTTATTTGTCGACGTCGTCGTGACGAGTCGACTAGTTGTGGCAGCCCTACATATATTTATTTTTTACAGGCTTACTTGTCTGTGAAAAGTTTGTCAGCCGAGGTATTTCTTACATCTGAAGCATTAAGCGCTAGTCTAACGCTATTGGTTAGTTCTAGTTTCCTATTGCTGCGGGGCATGGTTGGCAAAAAACAGACGGATTGTTTACATTTTATCTCAGAACACGATGAGACGATCACCTTTACAGGTTTCTGAAGAACCAAACATCATTTCTGAAAGGGGAAAACTCCGGAAAGGGGGGGGGGGGGGGGGTGTCACAGCTACAGAAGGATTTAACTGGACTTGCTGGGGTCAGATGTCACTGAAGTCTGGAAGCAGAGCACTACTCCACATGTGGAACCAGTCAGACTGGACCAGGTCAGGACCATTGGTCCTGTGTAGCTTAGACCCTGGCTCATCCTTTGAGTTAGGAGCATAAATGATTCAGAGGTTAAAGGTCAGGGTCCCCTGTAAAGGATTACAGGAAGTCTAGGACCTGCCTGAGTCACATGATGCATAAAAAGACTGAAAGTCTGATTTTCTAGTTTTCTAAGAGCCAAAATGTGTCCAGTCTCCACTGATGTGTGCAGGACACGTCCCCGTGTCTCTGAGAGGACGTCCCTCTGTGGTGGAGAAAAAACACCTGGATCCGAGCAGACCACGACCTCCCATCAGTCCTCCCGGCCCTCTGGCGGAGTGGCTCTGCGGTCGGCGTGCCTGTGGCTGCAGCACGCCTCACAAGAATGCATCGTGGGACATGATGAGGGAGGAGAGGTGGATTGTGGGTAATCTGTGTCACAGCCCCAGGAATCAAGACCCTGTAACCCCAGATATCTACCACTGGTCCATCATGGCTGGATCTGAAGATCTGTTGTCTCTGACGTCTCCATCTGAGGATAGAAATTCTTCTCGGAGTCGTGTTCTGGTTGTCTAACCCGTCTGAGGACAGGAAGGTCAGTAAACATCTGAGACGAGACAACCTCGTCGTGTCTCCGAGGAAACATGAACGGGACGCATGAAGCAGCTTTAAGAGCAGCGCTGTCACTCAGCCAGCCAATGCTCATGCTGCAAATCTAACGCACACCTGCAGTCTGGACCTGGACCTGGGCCTGGACCTGGGCCTGGACCTGGACCTGGACCTGGACCTGGGCCTGGACCTGGACCTGGACCTGGGCCTGGACCTGGACCTGGACCTGGACCTGGGCCTGGGCCTGGACCTGGGCCTGGACCTGGACCTGGGCCTGGACCTGGACCTGGACCTGGGCCTGGACCTGGACCTGGACCTGGACCTGGGCCTGGACCTGGACCTGGACCTGGGCCTGGGCCTGGGCCTGGGCCTGGACCTGGGCCTGGGCCTGGACCTGGACCTGGACCTGGACCTGGACCTGGGCCTGGACCTGGACCTGGACCTGGACCTGGGCCTGGGCCTGGACCTGGGCCTGGACCTGGACCTGGGCCTGGACCTGGACCTGGACCTGGGCCTGGACCTGGACCTGGACCTGGACCTGGGCCTGGACCTGGACCTGGACCTGGGCCTGGGCCTGGACCTGGACCTGGACCTGGGCCTGGGCCTGGGCCTGGACCTGGACCTGGGCCTGGGCCTGGGCCTGGGCCTGGGCCTGGACCTGGGCCTGGGCCTGGACCTGGACCTGGACCTGGACCTGGACCTGGGCCTGGACCTGGACCTGGGCCTGGACCTGGACCTGGACCTGGGCCTGGACCTGGGCCTGGACCTGGACCTGGACCTGGACCTGGGCCTGGGCCTGGACCTGGACCTGGACCTGGACCTGGGCCTGGACCTGGACCTGGACCTGGGCCTGGGCCTGGACCTGGACCTGGGCCTGGGCCTGGACCTGGACCTGGACCTGGACCTGGACCTGGGCCTGGGCCTGGACCTGGACCTGGACCTGGACCTGGGCCTGGACCTGGACCTGGACCTGGACCTGGACCTGGACCTGGGCCTGGGCCTGGACCTGGGCCTGGGCCTGGGCCTGGACCTGGAGCCGTCTGTCGCCGACGCTCAGACGGTTTGTTTCATCTCAACACGATCGTCTGTTCGTTGGAAAGCATGCAGGTTAAAGAGTCGGGTTCACACACGGGCCAGAAAGCTGCTCAGAACCACGTCAGAACCAGACTAGAACCAGGTCAGAACCGTGTCAGAACCGTGTCAGAACCAGCTGCAGGAACAGGAAGTGGTACCTGAGAGGAGAGCAGGTTACAGTCGATGTGAAGTCCTCTCCCCGTCTTGAGCCGCTGCAGCAGGGCGGCCATGATGGCTCCGTGTGCGTACAGACCCGTTGCTAGGTCCGTCATAGCAACACCAGGACGCACCGGCTCCCCGTCCTGCCAGCAGAAGCAGTGCATTATGGGACACGAGGCTGATGGGTTATCTTTGGCTTATTTTAAAGCTGAGGTGTAAAACTTTCACAGAAAAGAAAGAAAGAAAACCATCTTTTCTTTTCCTAACCCTCTCAGGGTAAAAACCACGAGGAGCTCCACAAGAACTAAACTAAACAAGTGTTACAATTATTATTTTAAAACGACTAAAAATATGTTTTAAATGAGAAAATATGTGATTAAAAATGGTGAGGAAAGGTAGAGAGAAAGGGTTAGGAAAGAGGGAAATGAGTGAATCCTGGGAAAGGCGGAATGACAGCAGGCTAGCGCTAACGTGTAGCTTCAGCGGGGCGCTGGCCCTTAGGAGCTGTGCTGGTCCTGCAGGTGGCGCCATGACAAAGGTCATTAGGGTAACGGATGAAAAAAGCTGAGAGCACCTGACCTCCGGCCCGGTGATGTGCATCATGCCTGACATGGCTGAGACGATGGAGTCGTATCCTGGACTCTGAGACAGAGGACCGGTTTGTCCGTAACCTGGACGGGACACAGACATCTGATCAGGAAGAGGTTCCTGTAAACCGTCTCACTAACGCCATCGTGGAGGATGGCTGCTTATACCGAGCCAGGATTCTCTGGAGGTTTCTTCCTGTTTAAAGGGAGTTTTCCTCTCCACTGTCGCTTTATGCTTGCTTAGTATGAGGATTGCTGTAAAGACTCTGACACTAGTCAGTGACTCGATGCAACCTGCTGGGTTCCTTATGTAGGAAACGTGTTACTGACTGGCTTAACGACCAGGCGCCTCATTCATCAAGCTAGCTTACGCACAAAACGGGGTCGGAAAACTGCGTAAGCAACTTTCCATGCAAACTTTGGGATTTATGAAAGAAAACTTAGTGGAAAATGTGTCAACTTTAAGCTGACTAAGGACCTGGCTTACACACATGCTGGACATGGAGAGCACCTGCACTGCTGCTGCTGAGAAGGTACAGTTATGAAATCCTGCAGCATCATCACTTGTACACACACACACACACACACACACAGCCTGAAGTGCAGAATACAGAATATCAGCAGGGGGACAGATTGAGACAGAACATCATGCGTGTGTGACAGTGTGTGTCCTGTCACTGTGACCCGACTGATCATGTGACCTGGCTACTTGTACAGGGGAGGTCTCTGTTTGGGTGACTGGTTAGCGCGCGTGACTTTCACCCGGGAGTCTGGGGATCGAATCCCGATTGGATCATTTTTTTACATCCGCCACAGATCTCTCTGAAGAAGTCAGCATTGACGGCTTCAGCAACGCTGTGCCACTCCGTGGATTTTCTCTTATTTGTTTTGCAAAAGCACTTCCTGTCATTTCTCCTCCTCACCCACAGGTACCTCAACTTCTGCTTCTGTGAAATAGCGCTTCCTTGATCTGTCTTGATCTATGGTCACCATGTCATTGGCGGAGCGCTGCAACAGCCGGCTTATGTACATGCATGAGGTCCACAAGGAACTTTGCATTGACCATTTATGGCAGTAAGTGGGCGTGGTGAGGGCGGGATGTGACTAAAATGCAGCGGAGAAACATTCTAGATAGTCTCTGATTCATGAAGCGGAGATTGCGTGCAGCTGTGTGTCCTCCATGTTTGATAGATCACACACCTGCCTGGCGTAAGAACATTTTTTTGCTGAGCTTAAGTACGGTTTTAGTAAGGATTCTACGCCATGTTTGATAAATGAGATCCCTGACCTGTATTGTTTACTGTGTGAGGTCTAGTCCACACGTACCCGGATGAATACGTTGTTAAGGACATGCCAGACCTGTAGGGGGCAGTACTTCCCCCGTTCTTAACCCCGTCCTTCGTCTGTGGTCTTCCGCAAGGAGCAGTAATTCCGCTTGCAATAACAAACAAGCAAAAAGCGCTTGGACAATTGATAAAGCGAGCGCAGCTCTGAGGGCATCCATGCTGTCGGCTAGTGTAAACACAGGTCGCACACGTGATGTCAGCATTGTTTTGTCGCGGAAAGTGACGTTGCGGACCTTAAAACTCCGGTTTTGTCTGTCCACACGCAGACACCCAAAACGGAGAAAACGCAGATCTTCACTTTGGCCGGAGTTTTTAAAAAGATCCGTTTTCGTGTGGATGACAGGCCAAAACGTAGAAAATATCTACGTTTTGGCAGATCCCCGGCTACATGTGGACAGGGCCTGAAGGCCCTTGAGTCGACTCTGGTCCTGAAGTGGGGCTGTAGGAATAAACTGAATTGAACTGATCAAAGCAGAGCTGAAGATCATCATTCCCCCATAATCAGTAGTTGTTTCCTTCCTCTGATCCCAGCTAAAACAAACAACGGGATAATGATCCTGATCCATCAGGGAGACATGAAGGAGCAGCGGCGGCCATGTTTGTTGTGCTGGAATCCGGCTCATAACTTCTGATGCTTGTTTAGGTAAAATGCTGTGATGAAAACCACCATGAACTTTCTGTGGGTGAGAAATCAAACGCGCCCGCTCTGGGTCTGGCCTAGGCGGCGTTCTCACTGCAGGTCTTCACGCTCACTTCTGATGTTTTTGTGTGGCTCTTCACATTAAAACTGCGACACGAAGCACTCTCCATCCTGTCGCTCTGCTCCGCTGACTCAGAGGTGTAGGAGGAGGATCTGATGCGACGTGACCGTTCAGGCTGCAGTCGCCGTCAAAAACATCAGATACGCATCTGCTTCCTTCTTCCTTGCTGTTGTTTGTTTATTGTGCTCCTTTGAAGTTTACAATAAACATTTATTTTTCTAAACTGGTGAGGAAACAAACTGAGTGAATGAATGAAGGTGAACCGTTTCAGCTCTGAAGGCGCATCTGCTGACCTCTGCTGGCTGACAAGAGAACTGCAGCAGCTGCAGGCTGACCTGAGCTGAGCTGAGCTGATGAAGATGAGCAGCGGTTTGTTTCTGATGAGATGATGGAACTGTCCCTAAGCCTGCTGCAGGCTGTGAGGTGAAGACCAACGGCGGGATTACCTGATATGGAGCAGTAGATGAGTCCCGGGTTCTGTCTGCTCACATCTTCAAACCCTAAACTCATCTGATCCAGTTTCCCCGGCAGGAAGTTCTCCACCAGCACGTCACACACACCTGCAAGCTGAAACACACACCTATGAGGTTCAGGTCAGAACCTAAAACTCCAGTTAGGAGGTTCCAGGTTCTGGTTCCGATGGTGCTTTGTAACGACCCAGACCCAGTAGTCTCTCCTGGACCAGAACCGGCTGCTGGTTAGGGTTCGTACCTCCTGGATGATGGCTGCTCCTCTGGGATGCTTCAGGTCCACAGCGAGACTCTGAAATACAGCGTTAGGTCCACGGTTACCTGGAAGTGACGATGCTTCGGCGGCTCTGGTCCAAACAGGCTCACCTTCTTGTTCCGGTTGACGCTCAGGAAATAGACGCTCTCAGAACCGATGAAAGGAGGGCCCCAGGTTCTGGTGTCGTCGCCTCCACCTGTTCAACACATCCAAAAGAAACCCATCAGGTTTCCCACAATGCAACTCCTGTAAGCAGGTAAAGATAAACTCACCTGGTCTCTCCACTTTGATCACCTCTGCTCCAAGGTCTCCAAGGATCATGGTGGCAAACGGACCGGCCAGAACCCTGCAAACACGGTGCTGTATGAATACAGGACACCTACGTTCTACAGGACAGGTGTTACAGCCACACTCACCTGGTCAGGTCCAGGACCCGGACGCCCTCTAGTGGCCGAAGGCTTGCTGCAGCAGAGCAGAGAGGTGAGACATTACGGTAGAGCGGTGACGGGTCGGTCTCGAACGAACCGGCTCTAAGAGCCGGCTCTATGAAGTGAACGCCGGGAGCCGGATCGTCATTGGGAGCTGTCCCCCCCCCCCCGGTGAAAGCCACAGGCGATTGGTCAACATGTGCAACTGCGTGTCCAGACTGTCCACACACAGAGCAGTAGGGGCGGGGAAGAGGGAGGATCAGACTCGAACACACAGCAGAGCACATGCGGGCGGAGGAAGACGAGAGGGGAGGAGGAGGGGGAAAAGGGCGAGCGAGAGAGGAGAGTGCGACGAAGACGGTGAGAAAATGATCGCCAGCCGTCGGAAAGTTGACATTTCTTAAAGTGTTCAGTTAATAAATCCATAGAAATGATTAATATTAGATATATTGCATTTTTTTACATTAGTAAACCATTTACATTTAGTTTAGCATTATTTTGGTGATAAATGTACTCTACGCATCAGAAAATCTGAGGAGCCACTTAGGAGCCGAAAGAGCCGGCTCTCTAAAAAGAGCTGGAATTCCCATCGTTAATGGGTCGGCCACCCGGTGTGGTTTCATCCTGTTCCTCTCAGCGTGATCCATCAGTTTGGCTTCTAAACAACTTTTACAATCACTCACACAGGCTTCTGCAGGCCACGTGTCACATTTGTTCAACTAGACCTGCATACATTAATAAAGGAATGTCGTCAGCGCAGAGACAACCCAGACTACCTGAAAGACGGGCCCATAAGCAGCTTCTACTTCACAAAAGTTCCCCTTTTCACAAATTATGAAACACGTTCACATTGTTTTTCTTATTGAATTTTTATGTATCTGAGATGTTTTAAACTTGGATTCAGATATTAAATAACGCGGGGTGTACAACATGGAATACAGTGAAATCCTTTTGGTATTACAGCCAATTGAATCAGCCGGTTTAAGGTTTCCCTGCAACGATGCTCAGGATCCAGCAGGTGTCAGTAGACCAACATAGTGATGCAGTCTGGACCCGCATCTACCCATCAGTACCGTAGTGTCCCACCCTGGTTTCTCTGCTCCAACACACCTGTTCAGCAGCTCATCGAGTCCTGGAGAAGACTGTTAATCACCTGCTGAATAAAGCCAGGTGTTCTGGAGCAGGGAAACAACAAAACATACAGGATAGCAACCCTTAAGGTCCAGGGTTCCCTGTTTCTAGAGTTTTCTAACCTCCAACACACCTGATTCTAATCAGCAGGTGATTAACAGGCTTCCGCAGAGCCTGATGAGCTGCTGCACAGGTGTGTTGGAGCAGAGAAAGCACTGAAACATGCTGGGTACCGGCCCTCCAGGTCCAGGACTGAGAATCACTGAACTAAAGGGGCCCAAACGGTCAACACAAAGGTACACTAATCTAAAATTTATATTATAAAAACACAAAATTATTTCATTGAGATTTTTTTAGTCTACATTGAAAATTGATCCTAAAAAGTTGAGAAGAGTAAGAATTTGAGGAAGAAAATGTGATGGATGATAGACCTGGAGGACCAGGTTGGTGTTAACATCGTCAGCTTGACGCACCTGAACAAAGTTTAAACAGCTGATTAATATGATTAATACTAAATAGAGAAAGCTTTAGTACAGTTGTAAACATGCTGATTTATTTGACCTCTGACCTCTCGAGGGACGCCTCTAACCCTAACCTAATCCCAAATCCGAGAACAGGGGACTAATGTTAGCCTGCTAGCTGTAGCTCCGATGCAATACCTGTGTTCGGGTCCGACTTCCAGCGACGGCTACCCGGACTCTTCAACGGTTCCTTCTGCTGCAGCAGCGGCCTGAAACCGAACAGGCAGCGAGCCCCGAAACGGCGGCAAACCGTTCTGAGAGAAGCTAACATCCTAGCGGCCGTTAGCGAGAAGCTAACATCCTAGCAGCCGTTAGCATCAAGGTAAAGGCTACTTCCGGTCATCGCGTTTCAAAGTAAGGGTTGTTGAAGGAGAGGGTTTCGCTGTGATTTTTAAATAAATCTTTATTTGTAATGACACGTTGTTCTCAGAAGGAAAATATCAAGTAAACATGGTTAAAAGAAACACATTAATAATGTTTCTTCTCCAAAGTTAGAGTTTTAGATGTGGAATTTAAAATAAATGAAACTAAATCAAGGAGAAACTTGCTTGTCTTTTCTCAGCAGCCAAACATCTGGAAGATCTCTTCTAGTGACTGCATTTCTCTGTAGTTTTTATAAAAACAGAAGCAGCCAACATCTCTTTAATTTTGAGGGAAATGTGCTGGATAAAAGCTGATCAGCTTTAACGTTTGTGACTTTGGAGCAGAGAAAGAACCAGAATCGTGTTGGATTATAAATCATTTAAAATGACACCTGCGTCTGTTGTGTTAGACTAGATCCGCTTTTATTTCCTCTGAACTTCTCGTGCCAGCAATGAGCTCCAGTGAGGAGCGTTGAGGAAATGCAGATGTGTTTTATTTCTAACCTCTGGATTCAGATGATCCACTTCTTCATGTGCAGAACATTTGTGTTCACCTGGTGGTTTACTGGAAGATTCTCCCAGGAATCTTATGATTCTGATGGTTACACAGTACTGGCACTAGAGAGCGCCACATGAGCAGTGGCGGCGCCAGGGGGGTGCTAGGGGGTGCTATAGCTACCCCTGGATAAGTCATTGCACCCCCATAGCACCCCCAAGCAAATATTAGATTTTATTTTATTTTTTACAATTTGATTTTAATTTATCGTGTGGATGCCAAAACAGGAAATTGATGTTAACCTTTGACCTCATTTTCCACCTGTGAACGAGTGAAAGGTAGAGCTAGTGGTAAAATGGATCGGTGTTTGTTGCCCACATTTCCACGGGTTCAGTCAGAAACGAATGAATGTTTGGAAGTGATCTCAGACTCACAAACACCTACGGATCTGGATGAAGAGAGTCAACCCTCAACCGCCGCAGCAGTCCAGGGTTTTGCCGTTGGAAATGCTAACGCTAACGTTAGCTAACCTTGCAACGCTATAGATGGTTTTCTGTGTGGCTGTATGTGTTTATGATTTCATGGAAAAGTCAGCGATTGTTCATATGCTTATGATGTTTATTAATGATTGTTTCAGGTGTTGTTGAGGTGTTGTGCACGCATGTGTATCTGCTAGTGTTGAAGGTGTTTTAGAGAACAACAGGTACGCATGACCACTTCCTTCAGAGCACCCTCAATAAAAAGACTAGCTCCTTCACAGCACCTGCAGAAAAACATTTCTGGAGCCGCCACTGCACATGAGGCTACTTATTTCTATAGTTTTATTTACATCAGGTTTTAATCTTTTGTTGGTCAAATATAAAGTTAATAATTTTAACTTTTTTTTTCTATTTTAAAGCATAAACGTTATGAAGTAAGAATGACATCCTGTGGTCAAAGGTGGGTACTGCAGTCACATTTTTAAGGAAAAGGTGACTTTCTCGCAGCTGTTCCATGCGTTTCATGGCAGCAGACCAGTATGGATCAGCACCAGAACCTTCTCGTTGACAAAGACGAGTCATACGCAGTAAGCTGCCCCATCCCTTTGGAGTTCATTACCAGCTGAACTCAGGAACGGCAGTGGATCGTGTGTGTGTGTGTGTGTGTGTGTGTGTGTGTGTGTGTGTGTGTGTGTGTGTGTGTGTGTGTGTGTGTGTGTGTGTGTGTGTGTGTGTGTGTGTGTGTGTGTGTGTGTGTGTGTGTGTGTGTGTGTGTGTGTGTGTGTGTGTGTGTGTGTGTGTGTGTGTGTGTGTGTGTGTGTGTGTGTGTGTGTGTGTGTGTGTGTGTGTGTGTGTGGTACCAACAAACACGAGACAGCTGATTCAGTATTAAACTTGTTTATTACAGGAGGCTTTTCTGTTTATACACAGACATGTATTTGCAAAATACTAAAAATCGTTTCAACTCAAAGTACTAAAAAGTATATGTATATATATATTTATATGTACCCATGTTTTAATAGTAATTATTGTGTCTAAAACAGTAAGGGGGCGGGGTCACTGAGGCTTTCTCCTCTTTTACACCAAAGTCTCTTCAGCTGCTGTCAGACTGAAACATCTCACAGCTGGATGTTCCTCCAGGTTTTCCTGCTAAATGACAGAAAACGTGCCAGGAAAGATTTATCCTCATTAAACTCTACGCTGCAGCACCTTTACTACGTCCGTTCTGAGCATATGGCAGCTGTGAGGAGGGCCTGCGTTCCTGCAGGCCCCGTGTGGCTCTGACAGCGGCCGTGAAGCAGCTGAGGTGTAAAGAGAGGGGCGGCGGTCCGATGTCTGGAAAAGTCCTGCGACTGTAGGTCCAGCACGGCTCACCGTCTGGTTGCAGAACGCTTGTATTGCATTTATTACACAATAAATAACATTAAGAAGAAACTTTGTTGTCTGTGCATTTTTCTCCTTGTGGATGTTTTGTTCCAGACGTTCCTGACGGAGCAGCTTTTGGTTTGACAACGGGGAAGGAAGGACCAGATTCCTAGTCCACCCCCCTACCCAGGTTCTACCAGACTCTTCAGACCCTCATCAGCCCCGCGTGGGCTCACTCAGCACCAGAATCTGGGTGCTCCTGAGCTCCAGCTCCACGAAAGACTCCAGTTCTCCAGAACCACAATCCTGCAGGATCTACAGCGCTCTGCAAAAGCATTCACACCCAGTGACCTGAGACACCCTAACCCACCCGTGTTCCTCATGGGGTCAGATGGACCCCAGATGCGTTTTTGAGGAGAGGGCACCACCTCACCTCTGCCACGTGGAGCCTGTCCTGGAGGGGTCAGCAGGAGGTCAAGACCAGAACCGTACGTGACTGACCAGCACTAAGTAGCACACACATGTGAAGTGGAATCCAACCCCACAGAGTCTCCTCATAAGCTCACCTGCTGTGGTTCTCTGGAAAACACATCATGCAGACCAAGAACTCAGCAGACGTTAACCTGCTGCACCCCAACCCTCCAGGACACGGTCGTCCACCTGAACTAGCAGACAAGAGACGAGAATTCTGCTCAGAGACGCTTCCAAGAAGACCACTCTGGAGAAGCTGCACAAGTCCACAGCTCAGGTGGGACACTCTGTCCACTGGACACTGGGAGTCACATCCTCCACACTCTGGCCTAGATGGAAGAGTGGTAAGGAGGCCGTTGTTGACAGACAGACATGAAAAGTCCAATTTGCAGTTTCCAGGAGACATGCAGGGGACACAGCAGGCACGTGGGGGACACAGCAGACACGTGGGGGACACAGCAGACACGTGGGGGACACAGCAGGCACGTGGGGGACACAGCAGACACGTGGGGGACAGAGTTGGTTTGGGAGGAGCTAAATCCTGGGAAGGAGAATCACCTTCCAGCAGGACAACAGGCTCCGCCCCCTCCGGTCGGCTCCAGGTCCCTGAACGGAACTATACAACGCCCTGATTCACACCCGTACTCCAGCTGAGATGATGGCGTCGGTGGTGACGTAAGCCTGGTTCATGCTTCTCCGTCTGCGTCAGTGCGGAGACACGCAACGCCGTTATCCGTCCTTGCGTAGGGCTCCGGCAGGCACGCAAGTACGTACGGAGTCGAGCCCACTTTTTTAAACATCCGTCGATCGAGACGGATTACGCAAGCTTGTGATTGGTCAGGACGCCGCTGTTGTTTACAGCGCCGCCATTGCAAAAAGAGCCGAGGATAACTAGCGGCAGACACGGAGAAGCTTGAAGAATGCCTCGTGAAAAAAACTCTAAAAATATGAACGTTTCATCCTCCCGTGACTGGACGAGTGAAAAGATGTGCAGCAAGCGTTTTATTTGTGGACGGAAATGACAGGAAACGTGGGTTTAGAGGTGGGGAGCGCATGAAGAGGTGGGAGAATGAGAGACAAATATGTCCGTGTTAAAAGTCTCTTATATACACAAAAAACACAATATAAACACACGATCTTGGACCGATACATGACAGGATACCACAGAACAGCGCTACGTCCTCTGCTGTCCTGGCGGGGAATTGCTTTGCAACGCTCTCCAGGAGACGGAGAAGTATGAGAGCAAAACGCTTCCGTCAACCCGTGCGTGTCTGTCCCTTGCGGAGCTGACGGAGACGCATGAACCAGGCTTAAGTCTGTCACACACTTTGAGATTCGTTAGCTTGTAAAAATTCATCAATCTGACGTGTCATGTATGACATCACAGCAGAACCTCCTCTCCCCCAGCGTCGCTGCTCCTGACCAGGTTTACGGTGGTGTTCTCCACCTTTAATGCTCCTTCTGTCGTCCTGGAAGAAGGATGAAGCTCGCTAAAGTCACGCCTCCCCTCCGTCTCTGGTTCCATGATGTCATTTTGGCGAGACGACCCTAACGCCGACATGGTTTCACACAAAACCTACAACTTTTGCTCCTGTTGAAAATAAGCGCTTTGTTGACATCAGACATCATGTGGGAAATTCGTGGCACACAACAAGCTTTGATCCTCCTATTCATTCACTTTGGCAGTGTCATGGTCTGGGAGTAGGTGGGCGTGGCTTAGAGCTACAGGGACGGTTTAGACCACAGAATACTCATGAGTTAGATCGGCCCAGACACAAGTCCCACACACTCTCTCCACCATCAGGGTGAGCTTCAGAAAGCTGAATACACCATGAATCCATTTTATTCTACACGCTGGTCCATCACAGAAGGTGTCTGTGTCACGTTCAAGGGTGCGGTGCTTCTACCAGTGCTGTAGACGTCTGGCTCCTCACACGCACCTGGTCTAAACGTGGAGGTGCTGAACAGGTGATTCAGAGCAGATGAAAAGCTAAAACATGGAGAACTGGAGTCTGACACTTCTGCACTAAATGATCCAAAATAAACAGCATGATGCCTACCAGGAGCTTGTGAAGCAGCACCAGCCCCAGCCCCTGTAGTGTGTGTGTGTGTGTGTGTGTGTGTGTGTGTGTGTGTGTGTGTAACATCTGGACCGAACTGCGGTCCAGATGTGTCCCGTTCTATCTTCTGATGCTCTAATGAAACATTCCTCCTGATGAAGTCATCAGTGAATCTGAACCTATATAAGCTCTATAACGGGGGGGGGGGGGGGGGGACGCACACAGGGGACTGTGAACCTCTATCAACACCCATGACTCATCATCAACCAACCACACGTTAAAGCAATCAATGAATGTGTTGGTGGGCGAGCGAGAGGTGAGTTAGCATGGCTTGTTGTTAGCAGGCACACTCCGGGTCTATTGCTACTGAAAACAGCCCTTCAGCACAACGGCAGCCGACGAGCTAGAAGCTCTGCTGCCGTCTTCTACTCTCCGTAGAACCTGGTGGAAACAGCCCAGGTGGTGCCGGAGAGTCAGTCCGTAAAAGTAAGGACCCCTCTGGTTACCATGACAATAGAGACAGAGGGAGTCGCAGACACCGCGGGGTTAAACACGTTTCCAACATGGGGTCGTGCGTGTATCCAAGGTAACAGAGTTCCTGTGATTCCCGATGCTCCGAGTGTTGTCCTGTAGATCCACAGGAGTCTGTTATTGCTCTGCAGCGTTAGTCTCTGTGTGCAAATAGAAGTGGAGCAGCTTCACTCAGCATTCATGTCCCCAAAACCACCAAAACACCAATGAATGAATGAATAATAAATACAATAGTCTCTAGATGTGAAGCTTCCTGTGAAAGTTTGAACCCCGGCTGTCCGAGTTTCACTCTAACTGGTTTTTAGAGTTCTGTCGGGGTTCTTCGTGTCGTTTGGTAAAAACCTGACGCAGAAGCCATTTTAGCCATTTCCAGGTTGTAGTCTGGTCCTGCCGTCGGGTCACATGGTTCTGGACTACCTGCTCATTCATGTTCCTGGGAACAAGGTGGACTTGGGACAGCAGCAGCTCAGGAGGTGGGCGGTCCAGTAACCGGAGGGTTGCAGGTTCCATCCCGGCTTCGACCAGAGAATGCTGCTGTCGTGTCCTTGGGCCAGACACCTAACCCACCTCCGTCAGGACAGCTGTGGCTACATCGTAGCTCATCCCCACCAGCGTGTGAATGGGTGATTGTGTTGTGAAGCACCTTGGGGGGCTGTAGAACCCTAGAAGGAGCTATACACACAGGACATCTGATGTTTACCTGCTCCGAGAGAGCAGGTGACTTTTCCTGAGACGATCTGATGCTCTGGTTTAGTCTCACTGGTTCTGGAGGCATCTGGGTTCCTGGTACCAGCTAACACCCGGACTGGAACCAGGTGTGGGTGGTGTTTCAGACCTGAACAGGTCCCAGATCCACGCAGAGACCTGTTCTCTGGGTGGATCCTACCTGCAGGTTTCAGATGCGTCAACAAGTCCAATGAGAGGCGAGACAGGAAGTCCAGACCTTCAGGTGTAACGGGTCCAGGTACAGGACAGGTGTGTGTGAGATCACTGCGTATTGCTCCTAGACCGAGACAAGGTTGGAGCAGTCTGGAGTTTTCAGATAAAACACGTTTTTGGTTCTGATGAGCCACACTTAATTAGTTCAACCTTTAAAAAGTCAAGAATCAACAAGAAATAAAATCTAAGAAGGTCCTGCTGTCAGGGCCAGGGCCCAGGTCCGGTTCTGGTTCTGATGAGCCAAGCTGATCCGTCTGGACCAGAATCAGGATCCATTTTCAGGACTTGGGTCAACACTGTTGTGTGTCAAACTCCAACCAGACGGAGCAGGTGATTGGTCAAACTGGTTCTGATTGGTTTAAACAGTCCTGCCAAAACTGAGGTCCCGACCCAGACCCTCCAGCCCAAACTACAGCGGCACCAAAATCCCGTCATGTGTTTGTTCTAGTTTTGGCTTTCCCACAGGAGAAGACAAAACTTCTCTCCATCAGGACGTCTCCATCAGGACACCTCATGAGGACACGCCCATCAGGGCTTATCCATCCAGGCGCCTCCCTCTGGATGCCTCCCTCTGGGTGCCTCCCTCTGGATGTCTCCATCCAGGCGCCTCCCTCTGGACGCCTCCCTCTGGATGTCTCCATCCAGGCGCCTCCCTCTGGACGCCTCCCTCTGCACGCCTCCCTCTGGATGTCTCCATCCAGGCCCCTCCCTCTGCACGCCTCCCTCTGGACGCCTCCCTCTGCACGCCTCCCTCTGGATGCCTCCCTCTGGACGCCTCCCTCTGGACGCCTCCCTCTGGACGCCTCCCTCTGGATGCCTCCCTCTGGACGCCTCTCTCTGGGCGCCTCCCTCTGGGGCCTCCCTCTGGATGCCTCCCTCTGGACGCCTCCCTCTGGATGCCTCCCTCTGGATGCCTCCCTCTGGATGTCTCCATCCAGGCGCCTCCCTCTGGATGTCTCCATCCAGGCCCCTCCCTCTGCACGCCTCCCTCTGGATGTCTCCATCCAGGCCCCTCCCTCTGCACGCCTCCCTCTGGACGCCTCCCTCTGCACGCCTCCCTCTGGATGCCTCCCTCTGGACGCCTCCCTCTGGACGCCTCCCTCTGGATGCCTCCCTCTGGACGCCTCCCTCTGGGCGCCTCCCTCTGGGGCCTCCCTCTGGATGCCTCCCTCTGGGCGCCTCCCTCTGGGGCCTCCCTCTGGATGCCTCCCTCTGGACGCCTCCCTCTGGATGCCTCCCTCTGGATGCCTCCCTCTGGATGTCTCCATCCAGGCGCCTCCCTCTGGATGTCTCCATCCAGGCCCCTCCCTCTGCACGCCTCCCTCTGGACGCCTCCCTCTGGATGCCTCCCTCTGGGCGCCTCCCTCTGGATGCCTCCCTCTGCACGCCTCCCTCTGGACGCCTCCCTCTGGATGCCTCCCTCTGGGCGCCTCCCTCTGGACGCCTCCCTCTGGACGCCTCCCTCTGGACGCCTCCCTCTGGACGCCTCCCTCTGGACGCCTCCCTCTGGATGTCTCCATCCAGGCCCCTCCCTCTGCACGCCTCCCTCTGGACGCCTCCCTCTGGATGCCTCCCTCTGGGCGCCTCCCTCTGGACGCCTCCCTCTGCACGCCTCCCTCTGCACGCCTCCCTCTGGATGCCTCCCTCTGGATGCCTCCCTCTGGATGCCTCCCTCTGGGCGCCTCCCTCTGGATGCCTCCCTCTGGGCGCCTCCCTCTGGGCGCCTCCCTCTGGGCGCCTCCCTCTGGACGCCTCCCTCTGGGCGCCTCCCTCTGGACGCCTCCCTCTGGACGCCTCCCTCTGGGCATCCCTCTGGATGCCTCCCTCTGGATGTCTCCATCCAGGCGCCTCCCTCTGCACGCCTCCCTCTGGGCGCCTCCCTCTGGATGCCTCCCTCTGGATGTCTCCATCCAGGCGCCTCCCTCTGCACGCCTCCCTCTGGATGCCTCCCTCTGGATGTCTCCATCCAGGCGCCTCCCTCTGGATGTCTCCATTCAGGCGCCTCCCTCTGCACGCCTCCCTCTGGATGCCTCCCTCTGAACGCCTCCCTCTGGGCGCCTCCCTCTGGACGCCTCCCTCTGGGCGCCTCCCTCTGGGCGCCTCCCTCTGGATGCCTCCCTCTGGATGTCTCCATCCAGGCGCCTCCCTCTGCACGCCTCCCTCTGGATGCCTCCCTCTGGATGTCTCCATCCAGGCGCCTCCCTCTGGATGTCTCCATTCAGGCGCCTCCCTCTGCACGCCTCCCTCTGGATGCCTCCCTCTGAACACCTCCCTCTGGGCGCCTCCCTCTGGACGCTTCCCTCTGGGCGCCTCCCTCTGGGCGCCTCCCTCTGGACGCTTCCCTCTGGGCGCCTCCCTCTGGGCGCCTCCATCAAAGTGCAGTACAGTGACAGTAAAATGTAAACTCAAAGTGCAAACGAGGCAGAGAAAAAGAACAAAATGAAGATGAAGCAGATTTTGGGGGTTCTGAGGTGATATTGTTTCTCCTCCTGTCAGCACCTCTTTCTGCTCCTCCAGAATCCTCCTTAAAACTCCTCAGTTAAAAGAGACACGTTTTTTTTACTTACTCTAGAAAATATAAAAAAATAGTAATAATTGTACCGATATTAAAAGACTCGTTACATCAACAACGTTATATTTTACTACCAAAATGATTTGTTTGAATAGCTCCGCCCTCCTCAAGCATAGGGAAACCCACCCCCCACCCCCCCATGATAAGTGATGTGTGATATAGTTACTCGGAGCTGTTCGGGTCCAAACCGTCGGTTCTGTTCCACATGACAGAACCGATATCATTTCATCTGGTTTTTGCTCCACAAGAAGGCAGACGAGGTACCTTATCTCACAAGGTTCCTCTGGGTCCAGGAAAAGGTTTGACCTTTAAAGTAGTAAATGTTTCACTTCTTCTGCCCTTTCGTTTGACTGCTTTTTCCCAGGTTCCTCGGCTACGATACATTCAGTAAACAACAGAACTAAAAGACTTGATGGACCCACAGCAGGCTTTGGTCTGTTTGGGTTCCTGCTATGGTTCTGCTTCCATCGTCAAGTCCGGTTCAGGCTCCCGCGGTGGCTGTTTACTCAAATCCATGTTTTTGGTTTCAACAACAGATTGTTCCGTGACGAGTGGTTGGGGGCTCTCAGGTGCTGCTCGGGTCACACTGTCGTAGGATGGAGGTAACGAGGTGGACGAAACTGTCTCAGAGCGCTCCATCCTTAACAAACTGGAGCCGTAGTTTTCCTTCATCATGGTGGCGATCAGCCCTTCTTTCTCTGGTGCGTCCTCTCCAAAGATCACCTCAACAGGTTCCTCGCCTTCAGCAGGTACGTGTCCCGGTGTGGTGATCTGCCGATATAGGTAGGAGGCGGCCTTCAGTTGCCGTCTCACCAGGTGTCTGCGGTAGCACCTCTGGATGATGGTGGCAGAGACTTCTTCTTGTTTGCGTCTCAGAGTTGTGGTGATTGGCTCGTAGGAGATCTTGGATGGGTTGGCCATCATAAACTTCTCCTCCATTTGCTGCTTGAGTGCATCCATCTCACCTGACTCGCCAAGGACACGCTTGGTGAAAGCAAAAAGAATGTCCAGGCAGTGGATCTTGTCTCCACTGACCATGGGCAAGTCCATGGAGATAAGTTTGATCTTGTTGGGTTTGGCAATGCGCAGCGGCTCCAGTAATGAGTCTGCAAAGTCTGACAGCTTGGAGTACTCGATGAACTGAGTTGCTTCAGGGTCAAACTTCTCCCAAACCTCGTAGAACATTTCAAAGTCGTCTTCGCTCAGCGGTTCTGTGCTTTCTTCTGTGGCCACACTGAAGTTCTCCAGAATGATGGCAATGTACATGTTAACCACGATGAGGAAGGAGATGATGATGTATGTGACAAAGAAGGTGATGCCCACCGACGGGTTCCCACAGTTTCCCTTGACCGTGGTGCCAGTGTGAGGAAGGTGGGCATCGCACTCCTCTGGGGAGTTGTTGAGGATGGGGCTGAGCAGGCTGTCCCACCCTGCAGAGGTGGTGATCTGGAATAAACAGATCATGCTGTTCCCAAAGGTTTCAAAGTTAAACATGTCGTCGATCCCCGCCTGCCGCTTCACGTAGGCAAAGTTAGCCATGCCAAAGATGGCGTAGATGAACATGACGAGGAAGAGGAGGAGTCCGATGTTGAAGAGAGCAGGAAGAGACATCATGAGGGCAAACAATAGTGTTCGAATGCCCTTTGCACCCCTGATGAGGCGAAGAATGCGTCCAATCCGAGCCAGTCGGATGACTCGGAACAGGGTCGGAGAGACAAAGTACTTCTCTATGATATCAGCCAGAACAATCCCTGGAAGACAAAACCAAAGTCAAATAAAGACACGAACTTAGAGGCTGCTCAGTTCTCTGGAGGGGTGGGGGCCCTCGTTTTGTATCATGGGTTAAAAAGACAACATCAGAACTCCCAGTGCATCACTGGTGCGTCACTCTGACCATGAATGGTTTCTTCTCCATTTTCTTCCTAATAGATGTAAACATGTCTGTCTGGCTGAGGGAGAACTGCTTCTAATCCAGCTGCAGTAACCAGATAACGTGGCTGGAACCCGACCTTCTCTACATGTGAACAGCTCCACCGAGCTGACGCCACATAAGCATCAAAAAGTAGCACGTGTAACATCATCAGGCAGTCCAGTATGTACCAAATCAGCTGTGCTGCAGCGTTCTTGTTGTCTATTCCTTCAGCTGTTGTGCCTTTCCTGTTTTTATTCCGTCTGCTCCACGCCAGCATTTGTTTACTATTTGTGTTGCTATAGCTTAACCGGAAGAATGCTGAAATGAGAGGGTGCCGTTCTCCACCTACTGTAGCGCAGTGGAAGACATTTCACTCAAGGCTTTGGTTTTCTAGTGGACGATTAAACTAAGATAAAGACTCCCAGGTTATTGCCGCAGATCAACTTACTGTAGATGTGTCGGACGAAACATTAATCCAGGAGTGAATGTACACAATATCACTATCACTGGTACTTCCGGAGAAAGAACCTACATATAATCAGAAGAATTTAAGTCAGGCCTTGTCCAAAGGCACTACTTCGTCTGTGAAGTGCTCTTGGAGGAAGTGTGAAGTAAGGCTTCAAACGTGTGGTGCACAAGTGTGCACATAATTGGCAAACTGGGAAGGGAAGCATTGCATCATCGATCGCAACACTTGCCTGGATGCTGGTCGCTGTCATTCTTTATTTTTTAAAACCTTTATTAACAACTTTCAAACAAACAACTTGAAACAAATGTACATTGATTGCTGCGTTGTCTCAAACATCCGGAGCATCAACTAATCGTCCTAAAATGAACTACTTTCATTAGACAATACAAGCCTTTTCTCCTGCAGCAACACCTTGTAGGTAATACCCGTCACCCAAGTCCGCATCGATGCAGACTTGGGTGAAGTGCAGATCAAGGGTGCAAAAGGGGTGCGATCAACTTCCGCACTGGATAATCGGGACACCCTACGCACTCGCACCCATGGCCAGGATCGCGCAGTTTAAGGGTGCAAGTGTGGAGGTGTGAGTGTTGGGATTGGGCCAGAGTCTCGGAGCTGGCAGAGAACCCAACGACTGAGTTGAGCTGAGTCAAGCCCTGATGTACCGAGTTGCTTTAGGCTGAGTAATGCTGTTGGAAAAGGCCTGATAGAGACCCAGTGTGTGTGTTACGATGAATTAGAGACCTTGGTAAACATGCGGGACAACTTGATGGACAGTAAGACAGATGACCTTCAGTGACCTATCAGTTACTTGCACTCAGGCCCCTCCCACATCAGCATCTCCTAAAAGAGTTTCAAACTGCATCCATATGCTGATGATACCCTCATCTATCCACCAAGAAGGTTCTCAGCCTCACCCCAACCTTCAGTTTCACTGACTTCCTGGTTGAGATCCTAAATCCTTCTTCTCAGCTACACCTGAGGACACTTCCATCACCACTTGGGATGCTGCCTCCTCAACTTAGGACAAGAGCAGGAGATCTTAACAACCCCAGGACCAGCAAGCTAAGACCTAACCTTAACATATTCCTGTCATCCTGGACATGAGCTGTTGGAGGTGCCCCCTTCTGGTGGTAGGATTAGGTCCATCAGAACCAGAACCTTCAAGGCACAGCTTCTCCCCTCTGCTACTAGACTCATCAACTCACTTCCTTTATGGGTGGATTTCAAAACCTTCTGAATGTTAGGACAGCAGTCCGAGGAAGGTCTTCCTACTGGATGAAGATAAAACCTGAACAGATACAAGAAGAAGGGCTCACCAACGATGGACAGGATGACAACCACAAAGTCGAAGATGTTCCAGCCAACGGTGAAGAAGTAGCAGCGCAGCGCTATAATCTTGATGATGCATTCAGTGGTGAAGATGATGATGAAGGCCAGGTTGATGTGGTAGAGGATCTTCTCCATGTGAGGGGACTGCTCGTCCGTCTCCACCATCATGGTGATCATATTGAGGAGGATCAGCACCATGATAAGGATGTCAAAGGCCTGCTTCCCAACCAGGTCAAAAAAGAATCCCTGCAGAGAGTTCTACAGAAGAAGAGAGTTTACCTGATTACTTCAGGCTACGAAGCTGAATCTGGGCTTTTATTGTGAAAGGGTTTGGTACCAGAGGTCTCGGAATGGGCTTCTGAGGCTTCTTGGAGCCCAGTTTCTTCATGGCATTGTAGTACTTCTTCTGTTCTTCAGTCATAAAGATGTCCTGTCCTCCTAAGTGAAGAAAGAAAATGACTTGTTATTTTTACTGAAACAAAACCAAACCACCAGCCTGAGGCTCCGCCCACGCGGATCCCCTTTTCCCAGCTTAGTTTGAGAGATTTGACTGGATTGATCCTGCTAGTGGATGAATTAAGTCCCCCCCCTCGGCTCTTATCTTTCGTTTTTGTTGGTTGAAGTTGTCGATGATGACTCCAATGAAGAGGTTGAGGGTGAAGAAGGAGCCGAAGATGATGAAGATGACAAAGTAGAGGTACATGTAGAGGTTGACCTCTTTGATCGGCTGCTCCTCGACCTGCAGCAGCAAATAAAAAGGGTTCATGTTTAATTTAGACTCTGTAGACACCAGCTGATGTCGTATAAACATCTAACCTTCTCTGCTGAACAGGTAGAGATGAAATATTTGGTGTTTTTTATTTGAAATCTGAACTTACTGCTCTGGAATCCACAGCAGCGTACATGATGTCCATCCAGCCTTTAAATGTTGCCTTAAACAAAGCAAATACATGATCAGTCATTTAAAGTTGATCTTTAATCCTGAGTTGTGATTAAAGTTAGCGAGCCTGGGTCGACACGCCGTTATTGATCTATTAAATGGATCCTTTCTCTGCCCTGAGATTTGAATCTGGTGACGCTGTCTTAAAAACCAGGAAAAATACAAGCTGAATAAATTCTGAAATATGGTGACTCTGTTCCTTAGATCAGCTGTCTGATGTGATCTGATGTTTCTGTGTGGGTTTGTCTGCATCACCACGTCACCATAGCAACGCTCTGCTCACTTCCTGCATTTACATGAAGTAAAAAAATCTGTTTAAACAGTAAATCAGTAGAAAATAATTCCTGCTGCTGATTTTATCAATGAAGAATCATCAGCTCCTTCTCTGTGTGTGTGTATGCGTGCGTGTGTGCGAGTGTGTGTGTGCGTGTGTGTTTGCATGCGTGCGTGAGTGTGTGCGTATGTGTGTGTGTGTGTGCATGCATGCGTGAGTGTGTGTGTGTGTGTGTGTGTGCATGTGTGTGCGTGTTTGTGCGCGTGGGTGTGCACGTGAGTGAGTGTGCACGTGCGTGAGTGTGTGTGTGTGTGTGTGTGTGTGCGTTAGTGCGTGAGTGTGTGTACGTGTGCGTGTGCGTGTGTGCGTAAGTGCGTGTATCTAGTGGTCATTAGCGATAACCCTAGTGGTCATTAGTGATGTCTCTAGTGGTCATTGGTGATAATCCTAGTGGTCATTGGTGATAACCCTAGTGGTTATTAGTGATGTCTCTAGTTGTCATTGGTGATAATCCTAGTGGTCATTGGTGATAACCCTAGTGGTTATTAGTGATGTCTCTAGTGGTCATTGGTGATAATCCTAGTGGTCATTGGTTATGTCTCTAGTGGTCATCAGTGATAATCCTAGTGGTCATCAGTGATAACCCTAGTGGTCATTAGTGATGTCTCCAGTGGTCATTAGTGATAATCCTAGTGGTTATTAGTGATGTCTCTAGTGGTCATTGGTGATAATCCTAGTGGTCATCAGTGATAACCCTAGTGGTCATTAGTGATGTCTCCAGTGGTCATTAGTGATAATCCTAGTGGTTATTAGTGATGTCTCTAGTGGTCATTGGTGATAATCCTAGTGGTCATCAGTGATAACCCTAGTGGTCATCAGTGATAACCCTAGTGGTCATTAGTGATGTCTCCAGTGGTCATTAGTGATAACCCTAGTGGTCATTAGTGATAATCTTAGTGGTCATTGGTTATGACTCTAGTGGTCATTAGTGATGTCTCTAGTGGTCATCAGTGATAATCCTAGTGGTCATCAGTGATAACCCTAGTGGTCATTAGTGATGTCTCCAGTGGTCATTAGTGATAACCCTAGTGGTCTTTAGTGATGTCTCTAGTGGTCATTGGTGATAATCCTAGTGGTCATCAGTGATAACCCTAGTGGTCATTAGTGATGTCTCCAGTGGTCATTGGTGATAACCCTAATGGTCATTAGTGATGTCTCCAGTGGTCATTAGTGATAATCCTAGTGGTTATTAGTGATGTCTCTAGTGGTTATTGGTGATAATCCTAGTGGTCATCAGTGATAACCCTAGTGGTCATCAGTGATAATCCTAGTGGTTATTAGTGATGTCTCCAGTAGTCATTAGTGATAATCTTAGTGGTCATTGGTTATGACTCTAGTGGTCATTAGTGATGCCTCTAGTGGTCATCAGTGATAATCCTAGTGGTCATCAGTGATAACCCTAGTGGTCATTAGTGATAATCCTAGTGGTCATTGGTGATAATCCTAGTGGTCATTGGTTATGTCTCTAGTGGTCATCAGTGATAATCCTAGTGGTCATCAGTGATAACCCTAGTGGTCATTAGTGATGTCTCCAGTGGTCATTAGTGATAATCCTAGTGGTTATTAGTGATGTCTCTAGTGGTCATTGGTGATAATCCTAGTGGTCATCAGTGATAACCCTAGTGGTCATTAGTGATGTCTCCAGTGGTCATTAGTGATAATCCTAGTGGTTATTAGTGATGTCTCTAGTGGTCATTGGTGATAATCCTAGTGGTCATCAGTGATAACCCTAGTGGTCATCAGTGATAACCCTAGTGGTCATTAGTGATGTCTCCAGTGGTCATTAGTGATAACCCTAGTGGTCATTAGTGATAATCTTAGTGGTCATTGGTTATGACTCTAGTGGTCATTAGTGATGTCTCTAGTGGTCATCAGTGATAATCCTAGTGGTCATCAGTGATAACCCTAGTGGTCATTAGTGATGTCTCCAGTGGTCATTAGTGATAACCCTAGTGGTCTTTAGTGATGTCTCTAGTGGTCATTGGTGATAATCCTAGTGGTCATCAGTGATAACCCTAGTGGTCATTAGTGATGTCTCCAGTGGTCATTGGTGATAACCCTAATGGTCATTAGTGATGTCTCCAGTGGTCATTAGTGATAATCCTAGTGGTTATTAGTGATGTCTCTAGTGGTTATTGGTGATAATCCTAGTGGTCATCAGTGATAACCCTAGTGGTCATCAGTGATAATCCTAGTGGTTATTAGTGATGTCTCCAGTAGTCATTAGTGATAATCTTAGTGGTCATTGGTTATGACTCTAGTGGTCATTAGTGATGCCTCTAGTGGTCATCAGTGATAATCCTAGTGGTCATCAGTGATAACCCTAGTGGTCATTAGTGATAATCCTAGTGGTCATTAGTGATAATCCTAGTGGTTATTAGTGATGTCTCTAGTGGTCATCAGTGATAATCCTAGTAGTTATTAGTGATGTCTCCAGTGGTCATTAGTGATAATCTTAGTGTTCATTGGTTATGACTCTAGTGGTCATTAGTGATGTCTCTAGTGGTCATCAGTGATAATCCTAGTGGTCATCAGTGATAACCCTAGAGGTCATTAGTGATGTCTCCAGTGGTCATTAGTGATAACCCTAGTGGTCTTTAGTGATGTATCTAGTGGTCATTGGTGATAATCCTAGTGGTCATCAGTGATAACCCTAGTGGTCATTAGTGATGTCTCCAGTGGTCATTAGTGATAACCCTAGTGGTCTTTAGTGATGTCTCTAGTGGTCATTGGTGATAATCCTAGTGGTCATCAGTGATAACCCTAGTGGTCATTAGTGATGTCTCCAGTGGTCATTAGTGATAACCCTAGTGGTTATTAGTGATGTCTCTAGTGGTCATTGGTGATAATCCTAGTGGTCATTGGTTATGTCTCTAGTGGTCATCAGTGATAATCCTAGTGGTCATCAGTGATAACCCTAGTGGTCATTAGTGATGTCTCCAGTGGTCATTAGTGATAATCCTAGTGGTTATTAGTGATGTCTCTAGTGGTCATTGGTGATAATCCTAGTGGTCATCAGTGATAACCCTAGTGGTCATTAGTGATGTCTCCAGTGGTCATTAGTGATAACCCTAGTGGTCATTAGTGATAATCTTAGCGGTCATTGGTTATGACTCTAGTGGTCATTAGTGATGTCTCTAGTGGTCATCAGTGATAATCCTAGTGGTCATCAGTGATAACCCTAGTGGTCATTGGTGATGTCTCCAGTGGTCATTAGTGATAACCCTAGTGGTCTTTAGTGATGTCTCTAGTGGTCATTGGTGATAATCCTAGTGGTCATCAGTGATAACCCTAGTGGTCATTAGTGATGTCTCCAGTGGTCATTGGTGATAACCCTAGTGGTCATTAGTGATGTCTCCAGTGGTCATTAGTGATAATCCTAGTGGTTATTAGTGATGTCTCCAGTAGTCATTAGTGATAATCTTAGTGGTCATTGGTTATGACTCTAGTGGTCATTAGTGATGCCTCTAGTGGTCATCAGTGATAATCCTAGTGGTCATCAGTGATAACCCTAGTGGTCATTAGTGATAATCCTAGTGGTCATTAGTGATAATCCTAGTGGTTATTAGTGATGTCTCTAGTGGTCATCAGTGATAATCCTAGTAGTTATTAGTGATGTCTCCAGTGGTCATTAGTGATAATCTTAGTGGTCATTGGTTATGACTCTAGTGGTCATTAGTGATGTCTCTAGTGGTCATCAGTGATAATCCTAGTGGTCATCAGTGATAACCCTAGAGGTCATTAGTGATGTCTCCAGTGGTCATTAGTGATAACCCTAGTGGTCTTTAGTGATGTCTCTAGTGGTCATTGGTGATAATCCTAGTGGTCATCAGTGATAGCCCTAGTGGTCATTAGTGATGTCTCCAGTGGTCATTAGTGATAACCCTAGTGGTCTTTAGTGATGTCTCTAGTGGTCATTGGTGATAATCCTAGTGGTCATCAGTGATAACCCTAGTGGTCATTAGTGATGTCTCCAGTGGTCATTGGTGATAACCCTAGTGGTCATTAGTGATGTCTCCAGTGGTCATTAGTGATAATTCTAGTGGTTATTAGTGATGTCTCTAGTGGTCATTGGTGATAATCCTAGTGGTCATCAGTGATAACCCTAGTGGTCATCAGTGATAATCCTAGTGGTTATTAGTGATGTCTCCAGTAGTCATTAGTGATAATCTTAGTGGTCATTGGTTATGACTCTAGTGGTCATTAGTGATGCCTCAAGTGGTCATCAGTGATAATCGTAGTGGTCATCAGTGATAACCCTAGTGGTCATTAGTGATAATCCTAGTGGTCATTAGTGATAATTCTAGTGGTTATTAGTGATGTCTCTAGTGGTCATCAGTGATAATCCTAGTAGTTATTAGTGATGTCTCCAGTGGTCATTAGTGATAATCTTAGTGGTCATTGGTTATGACTCTAGTGGTCATTAGTGATGTCTCTAGTGGTCATCAGTGATAATCCTAGTGGTCATCAGTGATAACCCTAGAGGTCATTAGTGATGTCTCCAGTGGTCATTAGTGATAACCCTAGTGGTCTTTAGTGATGTCTCTAGTGGTCATTGGTGATAATCCTGGTGGTCATCAGTGATAACCCTAGTGGTCATTAGTGATAACCCTAGTGGTCATTAGTGATAATCTTAGTGGTCATTGGTTATGACTCTA